CCCTGTGTTGCCCCGGAAACCGTTGCTAGGAGGCAGGATTCCCGCTCCCTCCCCACCCCCAGGGGAGTGGAGGGGTCCCAAGGAAGCGGCTCTGGGCCTGGAGGGGCCACAGAGACGTCCCAGAAGGGGGAGAATGGGGGGGGCTTGGTTCTGGGCCCTCCCACTGGTCTCCTTCAGTCTGGGTATCGCACCCCCCCCATCTCTTACAGAACCAGGCAGGTTCCTGCTTGGCCCTCCAGGGACTCAGGAAGGACGGGGAAGGGGGGGGGAAGGGAGTGACCGGCATCTCTGTGCAGGAAGAAGCCCCTCCGTGCAGCCCTTTGCCTCCCAATTGGGAAGAGGAAGCCCCTCTGGACCCCCAAGTGCCCGCCTGGCCCTTTTGTCCCCACGGATTCCCACTTTTGGAAGGGATCCTTTCCTCTCTTCCCCCCCCCCACACACACCCTGGAAGAACCTGAGGGCCCTTTGGGTGCTGCTCTCCCCTCGCTGATCCCGTCCCAGGCCGCTCCTTTCGCACAACCAAAGTGGCTGGCCTTTGCCCCAGGAAAGGATCCGGCACCCCTCGTTGCTTGCAAAAGCCTCTGGCTGCCCTACCACCCGCACACGGGTGCCCCAAGCAGCCCCTGTGCCTCCCCTTCCGCTGCTGAATAGAAGAAAGAGACATTTGGCATTTCCTTGTAAGGCAGAGTGGCCTTTGAGAAGGAGCCGTGACTGTCTGGGGCAGCAAGGAGCAAAAAGAAAGATGGTTTCCTTGGCATGAGCGGCCGGGGGCGGAAGAGCGTCTCCGAATACCTGGGCTGCTGTCGTCCACGGAAATCGGGGCCACGCTTATTGCTGTTATTAATCCTGGTGGTTGGGCCATTTTTCCTTGATAAAACCCTGCCCAAAACATCTGACATAAAGTCCCGGGACAAGTTAGTCGCTGCCAGGCTACAATATTGCTGGATAACTGAAGAACTGTTTGAGGCTGAGCCTCACGCCGTACTAAGCGCGCACGGGGACCCGAGGTCCTTCCTGCCCGTTGCTTGAGAGCATGTGAGTACCAGCACCTTTTTCTCCCTCCCTTGATTCCTGACACACACACACCCCTTTTAAAATTAATCTTGCAATCAGCAAGAGAGATGGAATGGATTTGGGGCTTCCCAGGTGAAGTCTTTTCAAAAGGTTTTGCCAACGGAAACAGGGTCATCTGTAAGGCCGCCCCGAGCGCAGGCGTCATTCGGCAGCTCCCGCCCAAAAGACGCCAGCTCGCAACAGCCCACTCAATGCCCCGAAATATGAAGGCCGCAGGCCCCTTAGGTGCTCAAGAGATAAACTGCCTCGGAAACTGGAGGTTCCACGTCGCCGTCATAGCTCACTGGTCTCACTACATTTGTTTCCAGCAACACAGGAGCCCCCTTGCATGAGAGAGAGAGGAGGTGGCTTCTCCCAGGATGCCTGGGTTCCTCGGGGGAGGTGATCAGTTGCTCGTGTGCCCTGGGGATTTCCTCACTCCCCAGGAAACTTGGAACTGACGCCTCTTTTATTTTTGGGTGGCTGGCTGGGAGTTGTAGTCAGATGTAGCTGAGGTTTTTCCAGCCCTTGCAGAGGTGTGTGTGTGTGTTCTTCACCCTTTCCTTGACAGCTGCTGAGCAGATGCCAAAAAATGGGTTGTGCTGGACCTGGAGGGCAGAGTGGGATTTGCAGCCCTAAAGGATTGGGGCCGAATTGGGTCATAAGAAGCTTACTGTGTCTGCTGACAGAGCGACGTATGGATGGATGTATATATGGATGGATGGATGGAATTGCAATGGGAGGGCAGACAGGCAGGTGTTTCCGGGTGGAGGTGTGGTCACCAGCAGTGTTCCAGGACTGGTGGATTCAGGGTCCAGCTGTTAAGCCCCCCCCCCCCCGGATTCAGCCTTTTTTTCTGGGGCACAATCCTGGTGGGCAGCGCTCTCGGCTTCTGTCCCTGGCCATAAAAGTGGAGTCCATCGGTCCGAGGAGGAAGGCCAGGGAAATCCAGGGCCCTCCGGGTTCGTGAACATGTCATAGTGGATTAAAAAAAACAAAACAGCAAGTTGAAGGGAAACTGTCCTCATGTCTGGCATGTTTTCTTTATTCTGGGCAAATGGAAGGGAAAGGAAGGGAACTGAAGTGTCTCTTTCCATCTTTGCCATCTGAGAAGCCGTTTCTGGCAGATTCCAGCTGACAGCAGCCTGTTATCGATCTGCCCAACAAAGATCACACAAGTTTTAATACGTTGGGTTTGGTTTTTTTCAAAATGAAACCTTTATTAATTTTTTCTCAGTTCTGCAACTTACAGATTGCTTGCTTTTCTCTCTCAAGGGAGTATTGAATCAATCATCTGTTTCTTTTATTCTATTGGGTTTTATTGCTGAAAAACAGGACTCTATGCAAATCGATCCTATTTCCCTTTTAAGAAGTCCTTCCGAACATCAGTGTTTTCTTGCGTAAATTACAAGTTCTCACAAACATCCATTTCTTTTCAAGGAATCCTTGCTGGGATTATAGCTTCTTTTAACAAATGCGTGTGACTGGTTATTAATTGATTTAGTGGCTGAAATCCAGATCGTTAGCCATCTAAAAATCATTTAGCGAGTCTTAGAAGAAAGTCTGTTGTGTTTTGTGCAAATGAGGAGAGAGATTCTGCCCAGCGCTCTGAAAGACCAGGGGGGGGGCAGGGGGGTGAGGACTCAAGGATGCCCAAGGCTGCTGGAAAGGAAGGGGTGCTGCCCCCTCGTGGGGAAAGCTTTCTGTGTCTTGTTGTGGGGAAAGAATCCCAAGCTCTCCATACTGGGATGTCGTTCATGCTTCTGGGGTAAAAAACGTTGTTACGGTAGGTAAATACTGGTAGGAGGGGAAGGAGATACTGCTTGTACATCTTGTGGGAGTAAGTTCCACAGCATAACTATCTTATCATGGTTACTGTTAGCGATGTTTCTGTCCTTCCCACTTCCTCTTCACACAACAGTCCAGTGAGGCGGGCCAGGCCAAGAGGGCAAGGGTGGATCAACTCCCTCCCCCCTCCGCCGCTTCCCGTAAAAGCAGCTACATGGAGCGTCCTTGTCTAAAGGTCTTAAGGCAGCTTACATCATGTAAAGGGCAATATTTAAAAGCTAAAAAGAAGTCTACACATTTTAAAAGATTTAAACGAGTGTCATATTTAAAATGGTAAGTAAAATGAATACTAGAAACACCTTTAAAAGCAACAGAACTCAACAATCCAATTTGAAAAATCCCTCTCAGAGAGCCAGTTCCCTGAGGAAAATATTCTCATTTTAAGATCTTTGATATTTGTCTACACTTTGAAAGCTTCTAACGGCTTTTAAAATCATGAGTTTTAATGTTTGGATGATGTGCTCTTGACATGTATTCTCTGCCTTCATAGGCCTATAGAAGCTCCTCTATTTTCAAGAATGCAACTTTAAACATTCTTGATGTTGTAGGTTTTTATATTGTTCCCCTATTTATGCTGCGGCCCGCTTGGCCTCCATGGGGTTCCTGATCCTCCGTGTTATCTGAAGAGCCGCTTCCCTCTGCAGGCGCCTTCTCTTGGGCAGGGCTGAGTCTGCAGCGGCTGGCTTTCCCTCCTCCAAGCTGACCCTTGTGTGTGTGTGTGTCCCCATCCGTCCTGTCCCCCCCCCCCCAAAAAAATTTAAAAACCAGCGAGAGTGTCAGCCTTTCAAAGGGCTTATTCATTTTGCATTTTCTCCCCGGCCACCCACTGTTCTTTTGCTAACGTGGGAACAGACGGCCACGGCGACTTCTTTGGGAATTCTTGACTGAATCTGCTGAATCCGGCCTGCCAAGGAATTAATGATTTGTAACAAACTCTCTTCCCCCCCCCACCCCCACCCCGGTAAAGGCTGTGCTTCTCTCACGCTTCCCTCGGGTCTCCCCTTTCCTTTCCTTGCAGACCAACATCCCTTTCCTGCAGAACGTCCTGGGCAATGACCAGTTCCTCCGTGGCACGGTGGACACGCAGTTCATCGATGAGAACCCTGACCTTTTCAATCTCCGGCCGGGCCAGAATCGGGCCCAGAAGCTGCTGCACTACCTGGGTAGGGGAGCTCTGCGCAGATCGATCGGAGCTTGGGGGGCGAGGGGCGGGCGGGGGGGGAGTTAAGAGTCCTAGCCTTCTGCCTGCAAACCCGATGCCCCTCAGGAGAGCCACTTCAGGCCAAAGCAGTGCTTGCTTCTTTTGGGGAGGGGAGGGTGGCTGTGGGATGCCCCCCCCCATTTGAACCAGATGCCTCCCCTGCTTGGACTTAAGAGGCTGTCTCTCTCCCACCTGCGGTGAAATTGGTTCTGGGGGGTTCCAAAGCCTTCCCCCCCCTCCGTAGGTGGTCCTACAGGGCGGGAGGGGGCCCCTGCCAGAAGCGAGACCCTCACTCGGTGCCCGACCTCATTCCCTTTCTCAGGCCACGTCATGGTCAACGGCCCCACCACGCCACTGCCCGTGAACGCCCGGCCGTCACCTGTCGACCCCGTCGTACCCTCAGTCCGTTTGGGTGAGTCGGGTGAGGCTCTGGTGGTGGAAGCAGGATGGGCGCGGGCAGCGGGAAGATCCTGCCACGGGGGGGGGAGAGAGAGGGAGGGAGGAAGGGGCTGAGAAAGAAGGCGGTGAACAGGCAGGACAGAGACTGAGAGGCTTCCCCGGGGCGGTGGGACCGAAACTGGGTTCGGGATGCGGGTCTCCTGATCCTTCTGGGCTTTCTCGGTGGGCCTGTGCGGGGAACCAGTGCCCTGTAAAGAAGCCGCCAGCCGCCCTTGGGAGGAGAGAGCTGGGTTCCCTCTCTCTTTGCCCGGTGGTGCCGTTCCGAGGTTCGAAGGCTGAATTTTGGGCAGGGCTCCATTTGGGGAATTCGGGGTGTGGTTGCTTACAAGCAGGACTCTGCCCGCCTCTGCTGGCCGAAAGCCTGCCTGCCGAGGCTTTCCTCTGGCAGGGCCTCTCTCCTCAGGCGAAGGATGCCGGCTGGCCGCTTTTCTCATCACCTAAAACGGGTCCCAAATGAAGATGTGTGACAATTAGGGAGGGAGAGGGAGAGGAGCTGGAAGCCCCTCCCCCCGCCGCTCGTTAACACCTCCTAAATATTTTATGACTCTAACAAGCCGCCATCAAAATCTCTATGGATGGCGGGGCGCCGGTGTGCATGCCTGCGGGGGCAGACGGGTCTAATAGCCGCCTGGTTTGCAGCCCTCCTGCTTTTTATGATTGATACGTGAGCCTCAGTTTAATTATACCGGATTCCAGACCTTGTATCATTATTATGGCAGTTTATTTTCTTTGTCAGCGGCTAATCCCCCACCTAAGCCGAGCATTAAGAGAATGAAATAAGGATGCTGAAATCTTATTAAATTTCCCCCGAGCCAACGCTTAAACCCATGGCATGCGTGTGTGTGTGCCTGTGTGTTGAAGATGCACCGGACCCCCAAAGAGCGGGCCCGCCACACGCCCATAAGCAGAACCGATTAACAGAGACCCTAAGAGGAATCTTCCCGTTCAGGGCCTGGTTTCTTTTGCTGCCCCCCCCCCCCCTCCCGGTGAGTGAGGATTGGAACCCAGGTCTCGTGACTCATCAGATGACACTCTCTCCACCGAATCACGCTGGCTCTCAAGAATTATAGTTATAATTACTGTAGAAGAAACCGACATGCAAAGGGTTGGGGGGGAGCTTGGCCCCCTGCCTTCCAGAGGGCCCCAACTCCTCCCGTTGGCTCTGTAGAAAACGTTGGCCAGCAGGGACCTGGTTGGCCGGCTGGACTCATGTGGACCTTTGGCCGGGCAGGAGGGGGTCCCTCTGCAGACAGAGGATGTTGAGGTAGAAAGGCTGAGGATGGGGTTTTCTGTGAACCCCAAGGGTGGCTGTGATCCCCCAGCAGCCCTGAGGCGCCTTGTCCCGGAGGGGTTTCGTTTGAGTGAAGCTTTGGCCAGCCAAGCCAGGCTAAACTTGATGGCTTCGACTCTTTCCTCGGCCAGCCAGATTCTCTGGACCCTCGGCTGCCAGGCGCTCTCTTGGGGGTTCTCCAGGGGGAGGGGG